GAAATGCAGGATGCATGAGCTTAATAGATTGGAACGTGACTAGCAGACAACAAACAAGCATACACGTGACGTGGTGCATGAGGTGAAGAGAGTGTATTGCAGTGTACATGCATTGTTTCTGCCGATGGATGTTATGCAGTGCTGACAGTGCTGCCAGCCGTGCGCTCTAGTGTTTACCCTAACAGTGCTCATCGCTGCACACAGTCTAAAGAATCTTCGCATGCCTCTTTTGTGATTTAGCCTTGGCCATTGGTGTATTTTTTGTGGGGTCAAGCAGGGCTCCCTTGGCGGTGACGATATGACCCGAAAACTTCGCTTGCTTGTACGCAAAGTGGCACTTTTGTGGTTTCAGCATTAATTCTGGCGTACATACGGCTTCGAGAACAGACTCGTGAAGTGTTTATTGGGAAAGCATATGATGACGCTGTCGAGGTATACGAGGCAGGTGTGCCATTTTAAGCCAGCTAGTACGGCAAGCATGACTATTTGAAATGTTGGTGGCACCATGCACAATCCATATGGCATTATTTTCAGCTCATACAAGCTGTCCAGGGTCATAGTTGCATTCTTCTCACCGTCTTTTTCACCCTCTTTATTTTGTCACTACTTGGTTGTCTAGTCTATCAAAGATAAGTACTTTTCATGGTAAAAATGGTCGAGGGCGTCGTCAATTTGTGGAAGTGGGTATATGCCCTTGTTTCTGATCATGTTCAGTCGTCGGTATAGTAGATGTACGACTTTATTGTGACACCTTTATTGTTTACTAGCAAGCACAACTGGGGCAGCCCAGGGACCTTTCCACGGTTGTATGGTGTTGTCGATGAGCATGTCTTCAACCTGTGCCTGAATCGCTGCGATTGTGTGCAGACACGTGGTAAGGTGACTGTCATAAATGACGGTCATCATCTTCAGTGATTATCTGGTGCTTTGCAGGGGGTATCTAATGTAGTTGTGAATTCAATGAGCAGCACTCGCTATAACGGCGCAGCAAAACCTTTAGCCTGTTTTGTTTTATTTTGCAGTACAGCTGAACTCACGTCGAAGAAGTGCAGTAGGTTCAAGGCATTGTGTCATTCACGCTGAAAGCCAGTGAAGGTCATCACGTCGCTTTCTTTCAGAGTTTCCTAGAGGGACGCAATTGTTTGTAGAGACAGTGTCAGTAGATATGCCCGGCTTCTAATGCAGCAGTCCATGGTAGCTAGAGGGTTTGCACACGTCGGTCTTCCGTGGCATTGGGTGTTGCGCTACAGGTGGTTGGACAGGTGACCAAGAACAATATTATGAAAGCTTCTGGAAAGGAGATAAGGGTGGCTGGATAGCTGCGGCATAGGCTGTAGTCTGTGGCTCATAGGTGGTTCCGGCTGCATAGAAGTCTTCAGTGCTTGTTGAACCTCCCACAAATCACAGGCCTTGTTTTTGGCAGACACTTGGTGCCATGAGGTGGTATACGAAGGATAATTGGTCAGCTGCCAACTTGTAATAAGATCACGTGCTACGTGATGTCCATAAGCAAAAAAGAGTGCCCCACACTGGGCATAATGGCAACAGGTGGCACTGACTGACTGTCTCGCGATTAAATGCATATATATACTGTACAACGTGGAAAGGGGCTAGCCACCATGGTAGCTCAGTTGGTAGAGCATGAGACGTGTGGTTCGAAGGTCGCAGGTTCGGTCTCTTCCACGACAAGCTATCTTTTCTTCTACTTTTCTTTCTTCACAATCACATTACAATTCTAATAATATCCCCTATACTTTTCTTGCCGGCATTTTCCGTAATTTTTTTTAATATTGTGTAACAAAAAAAAACGAGCCCTTAAACGCTCATTTCTTTTCTTTGCTTAGAGAACTGGCTTGGGGCTGTGGCGTAATGTGAAGTATTGATTGATATGTGGGGTTTAACGTCCCAAAACCACCACATGATTATGAGAGATGCCGTAGTGGAGGGCTCCGGAAATTTCGACCACCTGGGGTTCTTTAACCTGCACCCAAATCTGAGCACACGGGCCTACAACATTTCCGCCTCTATCAGAAATGCAGCCGCCGCAGCCGGGGTTCGAACCCGCGACCTGCGGGTGAGCAGTCGAGTACCTTAGGAACTAGACCACCACAGCGGGGGGCGTAATTTGAAGTAGTTTTTGGAGATCCTTCCTTTCTACTGCTAAATGCTTTCTTGTAGTTTATTGGTCGGGTCTATTTCTTATCAACGAAGTTCACATTGGTCGTCTCAAGGCAGTGGTGGTTATATGACTTTGCACGCATTTCAAGTGCCTTCTCAGTCGTACTTGCTTTGGCCACAAATTTGGCAACGGTTTCGGCGGGATTACAGACAAGCCCAGCAAGAAGTTCCTCTTTGACGCTGCGCATCAAGAAGCGCAACTTGTTTTCTTCGGCCATTGCTGGGTGATCTTGCCTGAAGAGTTGACAAACACAACATCACCTTCATTACAGTGTTGTGCACACGTCTACAGCAAGACCTCCACCCACTCCTTTTCCATAATCGTGGTGGAGGTAATTAGAAATTACCAGGGCTTCATCTCATGGTTTTCAAACCATGTCCCAGCTAAATCTAAGTAGAAGAGCATGTGCCTCAGTCTCTACTAATCGTCCCAGCAGTTAAACAGCCTAATCCGTTCATAGTCATTGCTCGCTGTTTGTGACTGGCACAACATGGATTTGCCTAGCGAGTTGCCAAAAGTTAAGGGTTTCTATACCCTGCACTTCCGCCAGATGTCAAGTAGCTAAGAATGACGCAGGGTCCTTTCGTTTAACAAGGTTTAACAATAGCAGCATGTGTAGATGAGTGTCGATCTGAAAAAGAAGGCCACAGCATTTTTTTCTACGGTCTTTTATGCCTCAGTGTATAGGTGATGCACTGTACAATTATGATGACGCCCAGAGAAAGGCCAACCTGTTTATTAGCATAAGAACACATACTAGGTGCAAACGTATGGCCCTTGCAACTTTCACCGGTGAAGTTATGAGCTGCACTAAAATGTACACGAGACTAAAATACTTTCCCAAAACATGGAAGTTTTTCTAGTAATTATCTGCAACCGTGTGAAAGGTTATTATTCAGCTCTGTTACCGTGCATGAATGATGCTTAGCGAAAGCCTATGTGTGCCACAGAAAATGACACGATCTAAAATTGACGTATGAACTAAACGAAATTCGGAGGTAGTATGTACCGAGCCTGCCTTACGGATTTGCCGCAGTATATGCCACTAGCAAGTAGCATCATCGCATGGTACTCGGCACTGAATGTTTAACGTGATGATAGTTTGCAAACACATTATGCCGTCCTCATTACTTGCACCATCAGAGAGAGGGAGTTGGTTCATCAAGGGAACACAAGCATGTAACATCCCATTAAGTAGGGCTTGTGTCACAAGAATGCTCAGACACTACACTCGTGTGCAATTCACTGCACTCAGATGTTGTTCAAGTTCAATCAGCACGATCAAAACACTGATATCGAAAATAATGCACACGTATAATTTTCGCAACGCTGAAGAATTCGACATTGTGCAAATTTGTCAAACAGCAATGCTGTTTGTAAGGTACTGCTGAAGTGCAGGAGAATTCAGCTGAGGGGCGTCGATTATGGCCATGGTTGTAAATTTTATTGCTCTAACCTTTTTGCTTCACTGTTTGAGCTCGAGTGCATTCCTGGCATGCCGCTCTCCATAATATACACAGTTGCGTTACGTGCAAATCACAAGAAAAACTTTTTTTTTGATGTCGCTGAAAGATATTTTACTTTAAATACAATCAAAGTGACTTACGAGCGTGAAAGAAACATTAAAGCACGAGGGGACGTAAAGTGCAACTCGCTCCTTGATAGTGAGTTAGTAGCTGGCTATTCATTATCCCAGTCGCTTTCGGTGCTTTCACAGCCCAGTGAAAAACCCTTGTCATCAAGATGGTTTCTTTCAACATCACTGCTGAAAGCTATCTGAAGAATTTTCTTCGCCCGATGACCTGTACCACTCCAAGCCACAGGCGCCACGTTAACTGAGCGCGGAGAACATTTTCCTCTCAAGCCGATCAACAAGCATATCGCTTGCAGTGTGCTGCCCCTATTAACAAACGTACAAAAACAAGCAGCACAGTGCTGATAAATTTTAGATTGCTCGCTAGCGCACGTGATTTCCCGCACAAAATCCTAGGAATAATGCACTAAAGCACTGATGAATGCTATGCGCAAGTAAAATGAGATGAGTTTCAACTGAAAAGGCCAGCCGACAACATTTTACTAACCTAAGTGGCTACAGAAAAAACCTTGTAAAGCTGTTATGGGCACCCTGTGGGCTATCTTTGAAAGCGGGATTTGTCACGTAGTTTCACAAAACTCGCAAGAATGAATAAAATGTATCAGGCCACATAGGGCGCTGTGTGGTCACTGATGCAGGAAGCATGCAAAGCCTTAGTGTTTGTTTCTCGATAACGCATTAGCACTATGAAGTAAGCACTGCTTAACTAGAGAGTAACTGAATAGTGTTGCCATTGTGTCATTTAATAACTTTAGAAGCACAGAAACTTAGCCAGTTTGTACTGATTCATGATGCTAATGAGGAGCACAAAACAGGACGAGCACTGATCCTATTGAGCCCTTCTCGTGTATCTTGTCTGTTTTGCATTCCTAAGTACCTTCGTGAGTGTATAAATCATCATTGAGAAGACGCCCTTGAATTACGCTTGGAGGCACGACAGTCTATAGAAATTGCAAATTCTTTTCAAGGACATGGAATTATGCTGACAACATGACTCTAGTGACGAAAGGGCAAAGCAGATATCAAAAAGATACAAAAAAAAAGGTGTAAATACGCGATTGCATTAAACTTTGATAAAGCAACCGGACGCTGTCAGACTAAACACATAGAACAAACCAAAAAACAATGCTCGTGGGAATACGGTATGAGCAGCGAGAACCTATACATTGTGACCATATAGTAATTATCCTCTATACTGTATTTGATGGTGCACATCTTTGGTCGCAGAGAGTGGCCATGCAAATATTCGATCGAGAGTGGTGGAAGCCTTAGAGTGCGAGGATAACGCGACCAGAGTCCTTGGTCTGCTACACGAGGGAAGCACAGAAGCCGTGCTCAATAAGATGGTTGCTTTCCTTCGAGTTTCTGGGCTTGGTAACGCTATCTACAAGAAATACCTTCAGGTAAGTTTGGTCTGTTCTGCATTCATGCATCATCTTTCGATGTCTTCTTCTTTTTTAATTATGAAATGAAGAATTCTTGCTTTATTTCCTGCCCTGCTTATGCATGTGGTCAACTGAAGACAAAAGCTTGCTCTAAACTTTGATGTCAATCGGAATGCAAAACGAAGGGGCGAGAGAGTTGGTACTGATTCATAACAGCATAAGTGTAGCGTGAAAAAGACACGGACAAGAAAGTGTACATTACAAGTCTTTTTCGTGCTACATTTACACTGTAATGGATCACAATGCACTCTCATAATACCTGAGAATGTGGATGGGGCCTGAACTACCACAGTAACAAAACAAATAAGCAGTGGCATACCAACTTTTTTTAATGGGAGGAGGGGTGGCAAATCTACCTCACTTGTTGGCTGCGACATGTGCGTGTGTGTGTGCCAAGGGACAGAGAACTTCATTGACACTCACACTTTGTTGTAAACTTTTATACACACGATTTATTAAATAGTGTTTAATAGCATTTTAAAAAATGGACAGTCAGGTTTAGGCAGCACACAGTGAGACAACAACACACATATATATATATATATGTGTTATGCTTGTAATACCACATCGCTTGTATTACCGCACAGGGTCACGCATGAACACAATTATGTCGATTGTGGCCTGCCCAGTAGTACATATTCGCATCATAGAACGAAATTTTGTTAATAATTAAAACTCGCTTAATAATAACAGGGTTTTTCAATGCAAAACAATCTTTAGGGTACCTATCATACTTCGAGCATTTCTATCTACTTATCTGCCTATCTGGCCACTTACGTCTGGGTGTTTGGGGTTGCCTCCTTACCTTGGTATAGACTAAAATCGGCATAAGAAGGCATGAGTGTATGACGAACATGACTGTCTGGTCGCGACATAGATAACATGAAAGTCATGAAAACTCTTTTATTCAGTCATATGTGTCACATACCCGTATTGCACGGGCTATGGTATGCGTGTAAAGCCTTAATGTTTGTATATATCTAGGAGCGTCAACAGCAGACATGGCTACTTTAAATGCAAGGGCCTTAAAAAAAACATAGGCATCAGCATTGTTGACCCAACAAATACAAATAAAAAAATTCAGGATCCCAATAGGAATCTTTGAGTGGTTGTAAAAAGGAACAAAAACGGAAAAGTGCCGCTCGTAACTGCCTATCCTTTAAATGACACCTCAATAGGTCGACACAGGTATAGGGTAATGGGAATAAAAGGGATAGGAAAAAAAAAAGAAAGAGAATAAAAAAAAAAGGACTCAATCACTTTGCCTCCCCCAGCACGAACTCGAACCAACAAAATATCTAGCCGACCGGAAAAGCCAAGGCACAGTGATGCGCATGAATCAACATGGGCAAAAAGAAGAGTGGGGTCCTCCAAACTTACAGAGTAAGCCCAGGTGACTCTGATGGTTGTGTCATTTCAGAAGTACAATCCTAATGTGTCATAACGAGCAGGGCCGCACACAAAATCGCCTTTCCAGAGAGTCTACCGGGAGCATCGGGAGCACCGTACGAATTGCCGCAAATAATGTGCCTATCTTAGGGTCTTTTGCGAGGCCGGCAGCGTCGAGGGAGTGGGCAGTGTCATCATTGCACTCTTAGAGACGGCGGCAGAAACCAGCAGTTGCGAAGAAGCGTGCAATGTCTGTGTTGCTGTCAAGCACGTGGTGCTGATGGCAGAAGCCGGCTGCGTCGTGGAAGAGGGCGCTGACATCGCCGTGTTCATGGGGACGATGGGCCTTTTCGATATAGGTCGCTGGGTGGCCTCTGAGGTCATACCACCGGTTCCGGCGAGCGCATCCCGGAAAGAGCGACCCTTGATGATCGTGGTACTGCTCCCAGGGCACTACTCCCAGAAGGAATTGAACCCAGGCATTTCATGGGGCAGTCATGCATTCTACCACAGGCCACGCGAGGTCCTGAATCTGCTTTTGGAAAGGCACTGTGCAAACATGAAGTCCGTGCAGCATCAGCTGCGGTTACAGTGCAAGCTATGTAAATGTATAACAAGATGATATACATTGCATGTGTACTTCTACTGTACAGGTGGGTTAACGTATATTGTGGCTTCAGTGTCGGCTCCACTTTCATAATAGCCTCATAAACATCATATATGAACTCATACGACACTGCCACCTATAATCAAGTGTTGCTTAGCAACGAAGAAATGTGCTAATGAATTATATTCTGATCATCGCACTGTAGCATGCACTTTGTCTCAATAAAATTTGTGTAACTTGAGTTGCATGAGGTCATAAATTGCGGCCCTTTAAACGCCAGTGTAGTTGGTGTGCCTAGTAAGTGCACGACTTGCTCACTACTGCTGCATTTACAAAAACATGCCCATGTACCCCGTAACGCTTCTCTGAAGGGCAGTATACGCACTGACTGCTTCGCATGAAACTGATTCCCACAGTGCATGAGATCCGTCGAGTTTTAACACGAAAGAAGTGTTTTGTAATGGGGTTTATCACAATTTCAGTCGGGTATTTTCAGCACGAAAGTGATAATAAAATGTACAAAAGTCATACTCTGCCCAGGTGGCGCTGCGAAAAATGCCGCCACCGGTGCCCTCATTGCCGAGCTTGCCATAACTGGGCAGTGCAAGGAAAAGCGTCTGCAAGCGAAGGTGCATAGGCCCTTCTCTTTCATTGCTGTTGAGGTGCGGTGTCCTAAAAATCAAGGACCTGGTAAGCTTCTTCTCTTAATCTAACCTGGCTTCAAAAAAAAAAAAAAGAAGAAGAAAACTCATCAAAGCGAACTGCGGGTACAATGCAAAAGATGTTCAGTTATTTCGGCGAGCTGCAACTCGCAATGTAAGTGCAAGCGAGCACTGCATGACATCGAGTTCGAGGCAACCACTTAGACGCAACTTACTAGAATAAACGCAGTTTCAAAGCTTCGTATCTCCACCAGCGGAGGAAGATGGGCCAAACGGCAGTTTAGAGAACTAGTGGCACTGCAGTCTGATCTTGTGCTACTCTCGGTGCATCATCTGCTACGGCGACATACCGTAGCAGTTCGCTGCGCTGTTCCTCGTGCCAGCTTTCCTCTTGTACTGTTATTGAACCTAACCGTTCATCGTGCGCTTTCAGTCGGCATTTTCGCGTCACATTTGTGAACTGGACAAGGTCTCCTGTATAGATTGGCCCGGATGTGTTGCTCATTGCAAGTTGGCTTAGAATTGCTGTCCTGCCTATATTTGCGCTGCCTGAATTCGGTTTAACCTCCAAGCACGGGAAATCCTACATGAACGAACATTTTCAGCGTAAAATTTTTATGACAACCGCTAGATTTTTAACCACTGTCTTCTTGCCTAGACGAAAAACGGCCCAAAACATCTGTAAAAGTCTCAAACAAGTTGACCTACTGAAATGCGAAAATGCTCTATAAAAAACCATATTCATGTTATTTACTAGTTATAAAAAATAAAAGACTTTCTTCAAGAAACAGTGCCCGTGCCTCACACTGTTTATAAGACAAGTCTTCACGACGGCTACCAATTAAAAGCAGAGTGGAAAATGTTACAGCAACTTCAGCTCTTTCCTCGAATTTTCCACCTTTTCAGAAAGCTCCAAATTGGTTTTCTTGCAAAAAAAGAAAAAAAAAACGAATATTCTCGAACAATGTAAAACATAACCTTCATGTTCTCATGATGAGCAGTATAACTCAAAAGATGCAGTGAAAGCCACTCCAAATTTTCAAGCACAATCCAAAAAAAGGTCATTAACCAGGGGGTTTTTGTGAAAAACCCCTCAACAGTTTTCTCAATTGCTTTTAATGTGGAAAGAAGGCCATGCAAGGAATGATCTAAGCAGCCTTCTTGAAAACACCTCATCTGAATGAGTGCACTTTTGTTTGGGCACGCCTGCTTCAGGAGTCTTGTGCAAGATGCTAGATGCCCTCTTTGCACGTTGTCGCTTAATCAATTTTTTATGAAGGTACCCACAGATGTAGTGCACTCATGATGAACTACTTCCTGGTGAATTTCGCTGCACTGAGAAGTGACACCCACACGTGCCACCATTGCCTGGTTCAAGGTTCAGAAATGAGAACACTACGACTGAGAAAAATGTCTATTGCTGTAGTATGAAGGACTTGTAACAAAACCTGGTCACTGGCAAAACACCGTCACTTACATTCACTAGTGCTGATTAATAAGGGAAATTATTAAAGCAAAATGTCCACGGCTTTTAAGGCAGCGAGATAGTTGGCAATTGATTGAATGTAAGTATTGACAGCGTTGCGCGTCGCGTGCCTTTCGTATTGCTGTTCCATTTCTGGCGGCTCCTGCAAACTGAGCCCTGAGCATTCGAGGGGCACGATGCATTTAGGAAAGGGGGGGGCAGGAAATCGGCGCTTTGGTTATGAACATTTCGGCTTCAATATATGAGATGGAATCGCTGGGAACAAGCACGGATGAGTACCGGGTGCGAGCTCCTACTTTCCACGTGAGATCACAACTTCTGTCCAGCAAGACATGATGGTATTGCGTTACGATGCCATCATTCTCACACTGAACATCATGGATTTTGCATTCGGCCGTGAGATTTCTATCTTTGCGGCACAAAGCTAAAACCTCAGTACAAGTGAGAATCGATCCCAGGTTCTTTGTGTGGCAATCAGATGTTATACCACAGAGGCATGCCAATGGTCGAAACTGATTTGCAAAAAGAAAACAATATGAATTTCATGTAGTAGAAGTTCTCAATAATACTGTGTCTAGCCAAAAAAAAGTGAGGCCTTATGTTTACACTTCTTTTATTTAGGTAAAAGAAGAAATTTCTTCAATTCACATAATATCAAGTGGTAAGAGCATAGAATCGTGTCAGGCGTTGTAAAATGAGCAACGAGTGGGTGTTAGAAAGGCCCAGCCATTACAGAACACTCAAACTTATGTTCGCATGTTCCGTTACGCATGCGTAAATGTTGCTGATTCATAAAAGGAACAATTATGGTGCA